TATACAGTGTTTAATAAGGACATGTTGGAACATCGTCGGCTACCCTGTAGCTTTCTAACGAATAAGGTCCTATGAAAAATCATTGTATAATAAAATTCCTCCGACGGGATTCGAACCTGCGACCTCTCGCTGACAAGGCGAGCGTCATAACCACTAGGCCACGAAGGCTTAATGGTTGAACAGGTCCAAATACCCGTCGGGAACATTGTATTACACAATATAAATTGAAGTAGAAAAGGTAACTTTTTTGCTGTTTGATTTTGTTTTTTGAATGACAGGATGAAAATGAATACTTTATGAACTAAATCTTTTTATATGGGTTAAAATCCTGTTCTCATATGATTTTAACCAGGACCCTGAGATTACAAGACATATCATCTCAACCAACAGTCTCAAAGTACAGTTCCATGTACTTCATTGTAAAATTAAACTTCTTTTGTTGTCAATTTGGCAAGGAAGAATATACATATTTAAAGTTAATATTCAGAGCAAGTGAAATCAAAACCCCTTTTTTTCTTAGTTTTATCCAATACAGAAATGACCACAATAACTCATACATTCATAGATACAGTTTTTAGCAAGGGCCTAGGAATATACACTCTAATTTCTTACAATTTTTGCTGCCTAATTTTCAGAGTGTTTTTTTTTTTTTTGCGAAGGAAGAACGGAATTGTCCCCATAAAGTAAGCTGAGAGAAAAGATATTTTTAAAATTTTGGTAATAAATATTCTAACATAATTTATTATAATACTACTTCCAATATGATTATGTTCTCACCATTATATTCTTCAGCAGAAATCAGGTAGCAATATCAGTCTGCAGTCCTTTTGTGTTGTATGACGTCACAAAACTAGACAATATCACCTCCTCCTATTTTTCCTGTTTTCTCTATTTTCAAACGGCATTGTTATAATAAATATATTTGTCATAAGCCTTCAATATCCAACTATTTAGCAGTATTATCTGGCAAGAAAAAAAATAATAAGACAAATTTTATTATGACAGGAGATTACAGTAGACCTATTAAATAGAGATTCAGCACACTTGTTTATGAATATTGAATATTTGAACCATATCAATAACTTAAAAATATATAGTAAGTGGTAATATGTTAAAATAATTATGCATAAGAAATTTATTTTCCATAAAAATTTCAAATCAATATTTCGTCGCTCACATCACGAATTAACACAATCAAAGTAGATTGTGTTAGTTCGTGAAATCAAGAAAGCGCGTCAAAATACGCGCTGTTGTTGTTAAGGACTTTTTGTGTGGTAAAGAATACAAAATTGCTTGACAACCAATACGCGCTCATTTTGACGTGCTACTGTGATTTTACGAACTAACACAATCTACTATGATTGTATTAGTTCGTGATGTGAGCGACGATTTGTATCCTTGCAATGTTTATCATTATATTATTATAAAAACAATGTCGATATTAAAGGAATCATCCTATATAATTTCAAATTATATACAAAATCACATATAAATATATATCAATTTGATAAATTGCAAAGTGATACTAGTAGAAAGATAATTACAAATAATGATACCAATAGGCAATAATGTTATAATTTCACAATATAATATAGGAACCATAGAAATACTTGCAAATTATATAAAAATCACATATAACGTATATATATATATATATATATATATATATATATATAAATATATATAAATTTTATTGTAAATTGAATATATATATATTTTGTGTGGTAAAGAATACAAAATTGCTTGACAACCAATACACACTCGTTTTGACGCGCTGCTGTGATTTCACGAACTAACACAATCTACTTTGATTGTGTTAGTTCATGATGTGAGCGACGATTTGTATTCTTGCAATGTTTATCATTATATTATTATAAAAACAATGTCGATATTAAAGGACTCATCATATATAATTTCAAATTATATACAAAATCACATATAAATATATATCAATTTGATAAATTGCAAAGTGATACTAGTAGAAAGATAATTACAAATAATGATACGAATAAGCAATAATGTTATAATTTCACAATATAATATAGGAACCATAGAAATACTTGCAAATTATATAAAAATCACATATAACGTATATATATATATATATATATATATATATATATATAAATATATATAAATTTTATTGTAAATTGAATATATATATAAATTGATTGTAAATTGATACTAGTAGAAAAAGATAATTACAAATAATGATACCAGTAGAGAAAAAATGGTTTAATTTCACAGGCAATTGGAAGTCAATGGGGCAGTAATAATGCTTTGTGTGGTGTACAAGGACAAGGCACTTTTTTTCTCAACTATTGGCCCAGGCCCTACGACACTTGCCACGCATATAATTTCCCCTCTCGGCACTACCGACTTTAGAATACAGAGTAGAACACTCCTCCAGAGAGACGAGTATGTGTTCCATAGGTGTTCGTTTCAATGACGAAGGAAATAATGTGTATCGCATGGAGGCATTGGTATTAAGACCAATCATTATGAAAAATCAATGTGCAATATATATATATATATAGGCTACATGTGATATGTATTACCGGTCGGCAATATGTATTTATATTTAATAAATTATCTACCTTCTAAATTCAAAAGTTTACTATATAATGACAGCTGGGTTTTCATGTCTATCCCAGCAACGGAATTTTACTGATCCCACAGATATCAGAAGCATAAAAAAACATATTAATCACCCTTCTCTAAATACAAATTGAAGTTTCCATTCTCTTACTGCAGAGTCTATGTAACCTTTGAACATGTTGTTGACAGAAAGTGCTACTCGCTGCCCATGACCTTAACAGTTTGACATTCTTGTTCTCAAAGTCAAATATCATATTTATTATAATCAGTCAACAACTATGACCTAGCATGCAGCCTACACATGGTACTAGGCACATGACTATACAGATAGCCAATCAATGACTTGCAAATCAGGATGTTTGGAATTTAACAAAATGATAAATGTGGACTTCGTTGATAATTATCGATGATGTCAGCTTTTGACAGCCATTTTACGAACAGAGTGTAATGAATGGATGAGCAGTCATTTGATCACTGTGAATGTAAGTTTGCTTTTCAAAGAGAATCTTTTCAAGCTGAGATTTAGTTTAATCATAAAATAAATAATAGATACCGGAATGGAGTCCTGCAGTTCAATGATATTAAGCATCATAAATTCAAAAAATCAGAGGAATGTGAGTCCCACATGTAAATATGACTAGTACTAAGGGTATACATTTCTTATATCCAGATGTGTCAGAATGATACTTA